CTTCTTCTCCGTCCGAATCCTCGCCGGCAGCCTTCGCGCGGGCAGGGCGCTTCCTGGGAGGCCCCTTCATCGCTGCAGCAGGGCGCTTCCTGGCTGCTTTCATACACTTTTTCTTCATTGTGTTTTTGTCAGGTTTCGTCAGCGCCTCCTTCTCTTGGGCCTCCCGCTTCTTCCGCCCCTCAGCATGGGCGACGAGCAAGGCGTTGGACTGGTCTGTCTCGATCTTGTCCCCACCAAGCGCGCGTGCGATCAAGAAACCCATCTCGCCTGCTGACAGCGGCATGCGCGTCTCCTGGCCCGACTCATCAGCAACGACCATGGACGGCGGGTCGGAGTTCCAGTCGCACCACGTCACCTGTGATAAAGAAGACGGATGAGTTGGACGGATAGAAGAGGATGATCACAGCAGGAGAAATTAGCAGGCAGCAGAAAGGGATGGAGAGGAGGTGAAAAGTGACCTTATTCGCAGAGCTAGAAGCGGCAGGTGCAGCGGAAGGGCGCGCAGGTGACTCCATCACCTCCTGGCTTGAGAAAACGACGAGCGGGCTGTGCACTTCGTCCTTCTTGGTCTTCGCCTTGGGCGGTGGAGAAATCCCATGTAGCTCCTTGATCAGCTTGTGCCTTGCGTCTGGACTGCGCGGTGCACTCGCGGTTGGGGCCGAGCTCTCGGCACGAGTGTCATCCTCGGAGGTGCTCTCGACGACGTCACTGCGTGGCGTCTCCTTCTTTTTGCCAGAATAAGTACGACCGCACTCCAAGTTCATCGCCTGTCCGAGGGTCCTCGTGTAGTGATCCAGCTTCTCCGCGGTCACGGCGCTCCTGAACTTGTTCACTACGTAGCTGACGCACCTGCTCATCTCAGTGGCCCAGCGCTTCGCTTCCTCTGCCGCGAGGTGCGTCTTCTGCGAAACGATGGCCTTCGTGAGCGCTGTGGAGCTCAAGCGCTGCGACGCCTTGCACGCATCCAACAAGAACGGCATGTTATCTTTGATGATCTGCTCCGTTGCGCCATTGATGTAGTTCTTCTCGATCAATGACACGCGCCGCTTCGCCAAGTCAACCATGGCCTCATCGCCGAGCTGGCAAGTGCGGTAGACGCGCGGCTTCTCCTTAGAAGCGCCCCCCATCTCAACGCAATGCCTGCTGCCACTCGCGTTTGAGCAAAAGTGGCTACAGAAAAAAAGGTAAAGGGAAAGGAAGTGCCCCTTTGAAGGGGTCGCAGGAAGCTCTTCCCCTAGCAAGGGGTGACATCGCGCAACCATGAGGGATCATGTCGAACACAACATAGGAAAGCGTACCAATATATTGGCGCCCGCCGCGAGCGAATATAGTCGAACATGGGTTCTCGCTAAGAGCAATCATATTGGTGTTTGCAATATATTGGTGTATTGGATGCTCAAGGCTGGAGCCGTCCGCCAGGACGTGGGTGGGCCCGGCGTCTGCGGTCTCCATCATCATCATGATGATCGTGAGCAGGGCTGCGATGCGGCCGCGGCGTCCGCCCAAGGGCAGTGGCGCCAGGGCCCCGGGGCACCCTCCAGGCGGGCCCCGGCGCGCACGTGCGCTCTGCCGCCCTCGCCTGGCGTCGAGCCGGCGCCGGCGCTGGGACGCGCCTGGCCGCCCGCTCGGCGGTGGCCGGCGGCGGCCACACCACGGCGGCCGCCTCTTCGCCATCAGGTGCTCCGCGGCTGGCGTGAGCCGGCGCCGCTCGGCGCCCGGGCCCTCCGCCGCTGCGCAGCCGCGCACCCGCGGGCAGCGTCGCCGCCGCCCTCCAGCCGCGCGGCGCCAGGCGCGGCTCCATGCGGCCGCGGGCGCTTCCCCTTTCGGGCCGGGTCCCGGGTCCCAAAAGTCTTCTGGCCCCGGTCCCGGGGCCCGGCCTTAGGCCAACTGAGGCCGACCCCCAGCTTGGCCTTTGAAAAGGCTTGAGCCGCCAGGCGGCGGAAAGTGGGGAAGAAGCAGGAGAGGGCAAGCAAGGAGGCAAGGGCAGGAGCAAGGGAACCGCAAGTGGAAGCCCGCGCCAGTTCTGGAAACGGGGAGATCCATCAGTTTTATCAAACATCCTAAACGACGACGACGCAGCCGATGCCCACGCCGACGCCGACGCCGCCGTCGCCTCCGCCGCCGCTGCCGTCCTCTGAGACGAGGGCTGGATGAGGGCAACTTCGGATGATGAAGCTGGAATTGGAACTGGATCTGGATGTCCAGCGATGGGGTGTTGGATGTGGATCTGGGGGTGGCACTGGCGCTGGGGCTCGGACTGCGGTTGGTGGGGCTGGAAATGGGGATGGAGCTGGAACTGGTCGCGCGTCTACGTCGTCCATCGTCCGTCGTCCGTCGTTCGTCGTCGTCGTCGTCGTCGTCGTCGTCGTCGTCGTCGTCGTCGTCGTCGTCGTCGTCGTCGTCCGTCGTCCGTCGTCCGTCGTCCGTCGTCCGTCGTCCGTCGTCCGTCGTCCGTCGTCCGTCGTCGTCGTCGTCGTCGTCGTCGCCGCCGCCGCCGCCG